GTAAAGAGTAAGTTTATATTCCCTATATGAAATGTAGAAAGAGATGAACAGTATATTATGGAGACTTTATATAAATTATTTTCAAAATGGGATACTTTTGAGAGTAAAGAGAGACATCCAAAACTATGCCAGGAAAATAGAAGTAAATCAGAGTGTCCCTGACAAAATGGAACATACAGTACTGCTAACCTTAGTAGAATTAAGGTGCTAACTGGTACCAGCTAACTGGTTTGCTAACTGGTACCAGCAAAGATAGAATAGCCCCATTCCATTCAGATTTTCCCTCTGACAACTAAAACCCCTGGATATAACAGAACAAGCAAACACAAGAAAACTCTGGGAGGTGGAAAGAAGACAGCAGACTGCCTGGGAACCTCAGGACTTAAGAAAATTAAATGGCAGTGAGCCTCTTCCTGGGTGTCCTTTTTACTTCCCATATATATCCCTGACAGGGCACTGCAGAAGCCTCCAACACGTAACTCCCAATAGGCACAGATTAAAAAATAATAATAGAAAATAAAAACTTTAAGAAAAAAGCCTGTTCCCTTAGCCAAAGGACCTGGAAAATGGTGACCTAATGAAAAAAATATTTTTGGCAATAACTGCCCAATTCCTGCCAACCACCAATAGAAAAATCACATTGTTCCAGTGGTGTGACCAGGGAACTGATCTTCTACCCCATCCTCCTGCCCCACAGAGGCAACAGCGTACTCTGATTTCCCTAGCTCAGTGCTCCCATCCCCTGCCCTGAAGAACTAGGTTGTGCTTCCATTCTCCAGCTAGGTGGTATCCACCAACTGAACAGAGATCGTCCATTCCCTGCTGGGTGAAAGCAGCAAACTCTCTGATTCCTCTGCCAGAGAAGTATTGGTAGACTGAGCAGGGAGCTGATCTTACAACCCCATCCACGAAAAGCAGGCAGTGATGTGATTTTCCTGCCAGATTAGTGGCAGTGGGCTCCAGCAAGATGATGTGCCTCCACACCCACCTGGAATCATCTAAATGTAAGCAGGTTCTATGAAGCACCACTGTGCTTCGCTCTTCCTGCACACTCAGCTAAAGTAAGGCCCAGCAAAGAGTCAAGTATCACCAAGAGTCACTCAAAATCAGCAAGACTGAATGAGGTAGTGTGAGTTGCAGATATTCTGCACCCTACTTTCCCTCCCATTCCAATATCAAGAGTTTCTAGATCATATTTGATGACAGAAACAAAGTCATCTGACACTCAACATGATGATATTCACAGGTAAAGGAAATAAAAGGAACAAAGTGGAAGTCAGATTTCTAACATTTCACTTGAACTAGTCAATTATTGATACTAATTGCCTCTAATATGTTAAATATATTAAAATTGATAAGTTATCTCCTATATGTGTGTGTGCATATCCTAGAATGACCACTATAAAAATTATATCAAATGATACTAAAGAACAGTATAAATAAATTATGATGGAATCCTGAAAATTGTTCAAGGAACCCACAGGAAGACAATAAAAGGGAAACCAGAAAGAAAAGAAATGAATTGATAAAAAATAAAATAGAAGACATAAGTCCTATCACATCAATAATTACATTAAATGAAAATGCTCTAAATATGCCACCTAAAATACTGAGGCTGACAGGATTAAAAAACAAAGAACATGATCCAATAATATGAAGTCTACAAGAACTCACTTCAAATATAATGATATAGGTGGGATAAGAGTAAAGGGATGAAAAAAGATAAAACGTGAACATGAACACCAAATTAAAAGCAGGAGTATATATAGTAGTATCAGATAAAATAGACATCAGAGTAAAAATATTACTAGAGACATGCATAATAAGAAAACCAATTCTCCAATGGGACATAATAATTTTGAAGGTTACACACCAAACACAGAACTTCAACACACATGAAGCCAAAACTGATAGGGCTAAGAGAAGAAATAGACAAATCCATAATCATGGTAAGGAATTTCAATACCCCTGTCTCACTAATTAGTAGGACTACTACTGCTAGAACTAGCAATTATTATAGTGGAACAACACATAAAGCCAACAAGGATATAAAACTAAACTCAATCAAACAGTAGGATCTAATTGATATATATATATAATATATATATTATATTATATATTATATATATATATATATATATATATAAAACATTCCAACCAACAAGAGCAGATTACATATTTGTTTCAACCACCCATGCAATGTTCACCAAGATAGGCCATGTATGAAGCCATAAAACAGGTCTCAATAAATTTAAAGGAATTGAAATCACACTGAGTATGTTCTCTGATCATCAAGGAATAAACTGAGAAACAACAAAAGCAACTGGAAATCTCACTTTGAGATTAAATGACATACTAGTAAATAATTGATGCATCAAAGAGAACATCTCAAAGAAAATTAAAAAAAACCAGAACTGAATAAAAATGAAAAGATAATATATCAAAATCTATGGGATACAGATAAAGTAGTGCTCAGGGAAATTTATAGCACTAAATGCTTAAGTTAGAAAAGAAGAAAGTTCTCAAATCCATAATCTAAGTTTCTGTCTCAAGAAACTAGAAAAATGATGTTACAACACTTGTCATGGGAAAAAAAAAGAAGAAACTAGAAATAGAGCAAAATAAACTCAAAGCAAGCAGCAGGAAGGAAATAAAGATCAGAGCAGAACTCAATTATTAATAAAAATAGGAAAATAATAGAGAAAATTAATAAAACAAAAGCTGGTCCTTAAAAAAGTAAGTTTGATGAATCTCTAGCAAGACTGACAAAGATAAAAGAGGAAACACACAAATCACTAAATTAGGAATGTAGCCAAAAGAAAATTAAAACAAACATACTAATTTTCACACAAGCTAGGCAAAAATCAAAAGAATGATAATACCCAGTATCAGCAAGAACATTGCAAAATAGACATTTTCATACTTTATTAATAAAATTATATATATTAACAGTTACAAATTATTGGGAAATAAATATTGCCGTATACTTCTTTGTCCCAGTAATATATATTTTAGAAGTATAATCTTTAGGAATATGATCTGAAATTTATACATAATAAAATATTAATTGGAGGCAGCTTGCTGTAGAAATATCTAGAAACTACTTGAATGCTATGCAGATGAATTTTTAATACAGTCATAGAGTGGACTAATATACAACTCTTAAAAAAATCAGAGAGAAAGAGTTAAGACAATTGATCAGTAATGATGTGCATAATACATCTTTAAATTGGGTAGGCAAGTTTCAGAATACTGTATTCAATACTATTGAACCTATTTTTATAAAATTAAACATTAGCACCCTAAATATACAAAGTACGTTCTTATATATATTTGCTTCTGTGAAGGAAGATATGGAAAGAAAACAAAGCAGGCCATTAGATTTGACCATTAACATTTACTCAAGTGTTTGAAAATCTTGGATTGTTTTACTTGTCACAAAGGGAACAACCTACATTATAATTATAAAAATTAAATAAAAACCGATAAATAAAAATTAAACAAAGGACTTTGGGATAAGTTTAGATTAAGTCATTTTGCTTCTTCACCTCAACTTGCTCATCTTTACAACTAGGAAAATAATAAATATTCCATTAGATCATGGAGGAAATTTAATGAAATAGCACATGTATAGCACATAACTCTGTTCATAGTCAGCACTCAATAAATGTTGATTATAAACATGAAGAATAGAAAGCTCAAAGCTGAAAATCCATCGAATGTTTATATTTAGAAGAGAAAGAAGCAACACGAAAAGTGCAAAATAGAAAGATCACGTGCTATCATATGATAGCACGCTCAGCAAAGGTGTTGAAACCTAGAGATTTCTGAATACAATTCCTGCCTTTGTCATCTATTTCCTGTATGACTTGGGGTACTTTTGCCTTTCCAAGCCTTGGCTTCCTGGGCTGATAAAGCCAAAGAAAGTGAGGAATAAATAAAGTGGCCACTGACTCGTTGAGAAAGTTTTCACCAGAAAACCTGAAAGGTGAAGAAGGTTCAATATGATAATGGTAGAGGAAGACAGAAAATCTGGAGTGAGAACATGAAAACGATGGATTTAGCTACTCATTGGAAAATTCTAGCAATGGAAGACAAGAGAGAAAAACCACAGGGTCAAATAAACTGCTTTCTTCAAGATGGAGCCCATTTAGGGATAAACATACAAATGAAAGATCTATGCAATATGAAAATAACGAAGGCAATAGAGATAAGCAGAACCACAATGGCCATAGAACTGGGGAATGGGGAATGCGAGGTACAGGCCAGCAGAATTCCTCTGAGCCAAAAGAGATGACAGTGCATCTCAATCTGTGAGATGGAGGAGAGGGTAAAAGAGGAAGAAGGAAGGGAGCCAAAAAATCCAAACTCTGAAATATTTGAAAGAAGTTTATTCTGAGCCAAATTTGAGGACCGTGACCCGGAGCCACTCCCAAGAAGCCTTGAGCAAGTGGACTCAGTGTGCCTGGGTTACAGCTTGGTTTTATACATTTCAGGGAGATAGTGGTTACAGGTAAGGTCATAAATCAATACGTGGGAGGCACACATTGGTTTGGCCCGAAAAAGGTGGGCCATCTTGAAGTGGGGGGGGGGGCTTATAGGGTTTAAAGATTCTTTGGCTTGTAATTGGTTAAAGACATGAAGCTTTGTCTAAAGGCCTGGAATGTTTCAACATAAGGAGCTGTTATCAAAGATAAGCCACACTGGAACATAGATTTGTTGTGTAAATTGAAGACCAGCAGGTTTGTCTTGCATACCCTTAGGCCTGTTAATGGGTTACAAAGCACATCTCCAAGAAGGGAGGGGGCATGATGAGGCATGTCTGACCTCCCTCCTCCTGGCAGACAATTTAGTTTTAGGATATTCCTTTGGCCATGAGGGGGTCCATTCAGTCAGCCAGTGGGGGGGGGGGCTGTGAATCTTAAAATTTTATTTTAGTTCACACTAATAATAGATGTTTCATTTTGTGAGGATTACAGAACAAGATATTTTTTCCTCTTCTCCAGTCTGAGTAACATTTCTTTGGGGACTATGTGTACTTAATGGTTTGCTGATGCTCACTCCATGATTCCTCTTTCTCTAGAGGAAAAAAAAAAATAAAGAGTAAAATTAGGCTCTTGGGAAAACCCTAATTGTGCATAAGAACTACACCTTAATGTTCCAATAATTAGGAGTAATTATTTCTGCATAGCTTTGGCCTGAGATTCCTGCCTTTCTGGCTGTCAGGGGCTGCAGCCTGAGAAGCCCTGTTCTATCGAGTTAAGTAACAGAGAAATTCAAGGCGAAGGATATATGTTTTACCTGCAGAAGGAAGCGTCACTGTGATGAAGCGATCTTATAGTCTGTCCTCACCAGAAAAGCCATTAGGTATCAGTCAGTCTCACAGTTTCAGGCTGTTGCTCCTTTCTTGGCTATTTGAGACAATGATCAAATATTTGTATCCATTTCTCCCTTCCTCATAATTACATTTCATTATGGTGCAGGGGTTTTGAAGGGAGACTCATCAACTGGATCAAAACTGTCAAACTAATCTTATTAAAATTGTATCTTCTATTGCAATTCTGGAAAAAGTTTTCAATCTCCATTATTGCGTACTGAGTAATGTTACAGCCAGCTCTCTTTTCTTTTCCAACCAGATTACCGAGTGATAATCTGGTTTCCTTTATTTTCTTTTAAAGTTTTCACCTCTCCTGTAGATTGCATTAAAATTTCTATAATTTTGATATTCTCCTGATCTAGTGATACTAGAAACAAAAGATGATTCAGGCTACATATACCCTTTCTATCAAATGTTTAGTAAAATGTTTATGAGAGATTTAAAGATTTTTTAAGGCTTCACAAAGAAGAAAATGTAGAGGATAATGTTTGAATGAATAAACATGTGTTTGTGTATGTGTATGTGTGTATAAAATCACTGACTCCTGTTAGGCCTCTAGTTAATGTCACACTTCTACTCTCTACTAATCAATGTTAAATTTTATATTATAAAGAGATGAAATTGAAATACTTTGAAACATTTTAGAGAGGTTTTTTTTTTTTTTTGGGTTAATTATATAATTTTGGGTCGAGTTGTAGCTCTTTGAGATAATTTCAACCAAAGTATCTTGTGGATATTTTTAATGGGGCACGTTGACCTCATGGGAACAATGAAATCTTCCAAGCAACTAGCAGTCATATTAGTCTTTTTTTTTTTTTTTTTTTTTTTTTTGAGACAGAGTCACACTCTGTTGCCTGGGCTAGAGTGAGTGCCGTGACGTCAGCCTAGCTCACAGCAACCTCTAACTCTTGGGCTCAAGTGATCCTCCTGCCTTAGCCTCCCGAGTAGCTGGGACTACAGGCATGTGCCACCATGCCCAGCTAATTTTTTCTATATATTTTTAGTTGGCCAATTAATTTCTTTTTATTTATAGTAGAGACAGGGTCTCGCTCTTGCTCAGGTTGGTTTTGAACTCCTGACCTTGAGCGATCCTCCCACCTTAGCCTCCCAGAGTGCTAGGATTACAGGTGCGAGCCACCGTGCCCAGTAGTCTTTTTCTTTATTTCTGCATCAGTTGTGGATACATGTGCCACAAACTACATAGTAACTTGAAGAGAGATGGTTTAATATAAAGAATTATAATTATTTACAAGGAATTAACTAAGAGGAAATAAAAACCCCCAAAATACTTTAGAGTTGAGGATATATATCCAAGGAAGGAACAAATTTGGCAGTGGAGGAAGGGAGGTTCCTTTCTAGGGTGGGGATTCAGACCTCATTGAAGAAGGTAAGGTTGCACCCCACTGTGTGGTAGATATTTCTGGATTTTCCTGAGCCAGAGTGTGTTCAAATCAGCAGGCTAAGGGTGAATACAGAGAATCATCTGCTGAGGTGCCCACAAAATTTTCCTGGAAGCTGCACACTAGGGTTGCTGCTGAACTTGTTGGGAGCTTAGGTCAGGCACCAGGTGGTCTAACCAGGAATCTAGCAGAAAGCTGCCTGCAGGAAACTCAACAAAAGGCCATCACTGGGAAGGCTCTGGGAAACAAAACAGAATGCCCTTGGAACTCGCCCTTTGGAAGCCAGCTGCAGTGCCCACAGAATACAACCAGAGGCTGGCATGCCACTGAACTTGCTTCTGGCAAACCATCTGTAGTGTCTGTGAAACTCACAAAGCCACCTGCTTAACTCATCAAAGGTGAGCTCCACTGAATACCCTACCTGCCATCCTAGACCCTTACAAGCAGAAAGAAGCAAAGTACACCAGACCCAGAAACAGAAGCCCCTTCTTCCATGAGTGTCCCTCTAGAGCCCTTGACTCACAAGATTAGCACTTTGCCAGCTGCCATGGAAGAAATGTTCCAGTATCACAAACAGGACAATGAAGAGTAGATTTGGAGCTGAGAGGCAATAAATTTATAACTGGCACAATTTCATACACCAATACCCACATGAACAAACTAGTAATACATGCACCTTCACTTAAGGTGCCAAGATTCAACTATGTACTGTCTAAAAAAATATGAACCTCCTGGAGAATAATAATGTATAAATTTCACAGCATTGAAATGATGCTGTTTTCTAGAGGACCTGTGGCATTTAGCTTACCTTTCAGTAACAATAAAAGACAAAAATAATATTTTTTCAAAACACAACTCTTAAAACAGTTGTTGTTTTATACAGTTAGTTAACATATTAGAAATCCTAAAACATACATATATATATATATATATATATATATATAAAACATTCCATATATATATATATATATATATACACACTCCAAAAATGGCATTCCAATTATCTGGCAAGAAATCATTTTTTCCAGGGGTCCTCAAACTTTTTAAACAGGGGGCCAGTTCACTGTCCCTCAGACCATTGGAGGGCCAGACTATAGTTTAAAAAAAACTATGAACAAATTCCTATGCACACTGCACATATCCTATTTTGATGTAAAAAAATAAACGGGCAAAAACACCCGCATGTGGCCCGCAGGCCGTAGTTTGAGGACAACTGTTCTAAACAGTCTCTGTAGGCCTGTAAATCTACAGCTATTTAAAGTGCACAGTGAGGGTTAACTCCAGCAAGTCTGGAATTCATCTGAACTATTTTGCTAAAGTACCTGCAAGGCACTGATCCTCGGCCAAAACATGAAACAAACCAATTAATAGTGTTGCTTTGTAAGCATGAATCAGAGGAGTTTCAGGGTCATTCATACTATCTTGTCAGCCTTGTTTATTGATTATGAGTGAGAATGGTGATTTACACCTGGTCTTGGTGAAACCTCCAGGGCCGGGAGGAAGAAGTGGTTCTCTGCTGTAAGGGCTGGTTAAGTAACAAGAATATGCCTGCCTGACCAATGGGCTATAAGAAACTCTGGCTAATACTCTGTTTGGGGCTCCCTGATTCCAAGGTTTTCTGTCCCCATGCCAGTGCCTTCTGAACTGAAAGAAAAAGTGCTCCTGATAAGGCCCTTATAGAGAGAAGGCAATTAGAGGTCACAGATGGCCTCTCTGGACCCCTTGCTGGGAGACAGCCTTTGGCTGTCATGCGCATTCTTATTTTAATAACACTGCTATATTGTATCCTTTTCTTGAAACAAACTATAGATTTATCAGCATTGTCATTTTGGGTCCTACGTCTTCTTTGGCAACTAGACCCTGCCTAACTGCCATTGTTAGCACAGCAAGGTTGGTTTAATTTATAATCATTGCTGATTTCACAAGGTAAGTGAGAAAATATTCCAAATGTGGAATAAGTTTTAACCCAGAGAGAACCACTTGAGAAACAGTTTTGTAAAGACTTTATGTGTAAGAGCTTTCCATTTACCACCTTCACTCTTCCCTTGCTTGAAATTTCTCTAGATTTGACAACTATTAATGGAACCCTACATCCCATCATGTTGCCTTTAATATTTCCAAGCCAGTAAGATTTTGTCATTTTTATAATGGAATCCAAATGATGAAATGTGTTAGCTCTGGGCTGCATTTTTCCTTTTTCCGAAAATCCAAATATTGAGAACAGTTTGCAGCAAATGACACTTATATTTCTCATCTCAATTTCTTATCTAATGTAAGATAGTACCACACTTCACTTTCTTATTGAATATCTGAGGATTCTATTAGATTTTCTTGGTTTTTGTGAAGAACCATCCCATGCCAGTAAAGGACATGAGTTCCTCTTGCATAGAAAAATGTGTTTTATTTTCAGAATTTGTTTCTTCAAGCTCTGCTTGTGAATGTTTAATCTACATTAGGATAAAGAATAAAGTACTGAACACTTTTCAATACATTGTCTTTTCAATAACATTCAAATAATGTTATTTATCTTCTTTAAAAATAGAAATATAAACTAAGATTTTGTTCAGGGCTTAAACAGTGATTATGTTTAGATTTTTACCTGATTAATGTATTGGATGTAAATATTTTTACCACTCATTGTAATCTAGTCAAAGATATATTTTAATTTCTAAAATTGCCAAATATTAAATCCATAGGTGAGACAAAACATCTAGCCAGTCCACCTCACCTGCCATTTCTGATGTGATAGTCTTGGGGAAGAGTACTGTGAAGATCTAACCCTACTTTGATGGACAGCATCTGGTGGGAGAAGAGGCAAAATCAAAGAAAGGAACAGTGGCTACGGTGAACACCTTTCTTGTCCAGATAATTATTTGAGACCCAACTCAATGCCTTTCCACTTGCTCAATAAAATTAAGCCAAACGACCTAATCTGTGGACCCAAAAGCAGCATAGATCCAAGAGAGACGGTAACATCACCTCCATCTCCAGCCATATCATTTACCTCTGGGGACCTGAAGGGGCAACTTAGGGTGTGAGCAATTAGGGCTATTTCCATTTTTTCCCATTTGCCTAGTAAATAGTAAAAGCCCCTTGCTTTTATTCAAGTGTTAAAGCTATTTAATTTAGGGAACCAAGAAGGCATAAGCTAGGGAAGATTGAAATAGGCTGTCTGTAAATTACATGAGACCAGAAGCCATACCTAGCACATTTTCAAACTGTTTCTTTAAATGAAATTCTTACTATAAAATATGTCTATATTAGTAAATTAGAAAGGATTATACAGGTTAGTGTCCACCTTGCAAAGTGGGAACTTATTCCGACATAAAGTTTAGAAACTGAAAACATATAGTAAAATCTGCAAGGCAGTCCTAATTATAGGTAAGTATAAATGTTTATATAAAAATGCCTTTGAAATACTTGCAAAAATCTTTCATCCATAACTTCATCTTTGTGAAAAAGAAATAGTCACTCAGCAAATAGTCCTTCTCTACGACTTTCCTGCAGTGTAGCAGAAAAACAAAGCCTAATGGATAAGATTGGCAGTCATTGAATATAGGTTTTCTCAGTGGAAGACGTTTCTTCAGTTACCATATTCAGTTACCATATGCTTTGTCATTGGGCACAGATATAAAAGGAAAGGGGAGAAATTAGCAAACTGAAAACGTAGTCCTAATTTCGGATTGAACCAATGTGGGTATAAATCCCCAGCTCCCAGCTCTGCCATCGACTGTATGAACATGTTACTTGAGTCCCCTGAACCTTAGTTTCCTCACTTGAGAAATGAAAACAATATTGTGGTTATTTTAAGAATGTGATGCCTAACATAGAGCCTAGAACATTGGGCATATTGAAATCATTGCTGATGCTGTTGTTATACCTATCATTATGGTCCATCTGAATTTTAGACAAAGCTCTGCATTTTTATCTCTCCATGCCTCAGTTTGCTTGTATATAAAATATATACAGGTTGATTTAGACCCATAATCATGGGTTCTGACTGGCACTAACATTCTTTGAATCAATGACATTTTTCTCTTATGAAAATTCAATAGGCTAGAGGTCACTGTTTTTTGCAAAAACCTGTGACTTGAGATAATCTGAGCTACGTGAAGGCAGCTTTGGATTGTCACTTCCCTGAGTTCACAGGCAAGCTCCTGTATTCCATCTCTTAGAATATCTCTAATTAAGAAAGGCTACAGTGGTCAGTGTGACCGTAAAAAGGATTCATGTTTGAGAATCAATAGGAAAGAGATAAATATGCACAATTATTCATCAGACATTAGTATTTATGATAGCTCCAAAAGAGCATATGCACATCTTGCACATTTTTCTACAAAGAAATCTGATTTTAAAGCACACAAATCATATTGGAGTATAATAGGTTGTAGATAGGCCTTTAAAAGGCAAATAGTGGAATTATTACAGTTGGAATTTCGAAACTAGTAAAATTAATCAATGTTAATGAAACAAATGCCTAAACATTGGGTGAAGGGGAATTTAACAATTAAGTTAGGTCCTTATTATATACTATACAAAAATAAATTACATATAGATCAATGATTTCAATGTGTTTTAAAGGTAAAAGAAAACACTAAAAAAACAGAGAAGTGTATTTTTAGGTTTTTCAATGGGAAAGTCCTTTTTTAACATATTACCATAGTCAGAAAAAATATAGAATAAAACTAAAAATTTGACTACTTTTACAGATAAAGTTACTCTATGGCAGAAGATATCATCAAGAAAATTTAAAAAGACAAATGACAAAGTTTGAGAATATGTTTTAACATATACCAAACAAAAGGTCAGTATCATTCTGGATGAGGTTGTGATAGCATTTTGAAGGCATCACTGCCATAAATTCAGAGATATCCCCATTCAAAAGCAGCCTAAGCCACTCCTACCTCCATACAGGATTCCCCAGGGACCCTTACACAAGGAACCAGAGAGAACTTGACCCAAACTATCATCTATTAACAGCTAACACCTATGCAAGAAACTAATATTCCAAACGCACTAAAAATCTATCCAAAACGCAAGCCTTTGTCCCAGGGTCTCATCAGAGCCTCTTAATCTTACTGTCCTCACCTTTTAGCACCACCTACTTCCCCATATAAGTTATGAAGGACATTCTCAGGAATGATAACACAGATCAAGCAGGGTAACCAGGCCTTAACAGTGTCCTGACTTGGTTTATCAATTCTCCTGTACGTACTTCAGGCAAAAATGGCAAGAAATCGACTGTTTTGACGTTGGTGCCTAAAACTTGAAACTTTAAAGAGAGAGGGGAGCATGGGTCTCCATGTTTGTAAGGTACAATAATCTTACCTATGATTAATTGTAGTCCAATGAATGACAAGCTCCAAGCGGATATAACAAATGATTCTCCCTTGTAGAAGAGTGAATGATAAAAAGTGACAACATTACTATTGGGAAGCCGTGGTAATTCTCTGTACTCTCAGAAGAACTAAGCTGAAATCCAAGAATCCATCTTGAGAAAACTATAGACACCTTTGTTCTCACTAAATTCTGAGGCTACCCTTATTCAGAAAGCGTAGGGGAGTTATTTTTTAAAATGGCCCTAGAATTAGAAGCTTGTCTCCACCATTATTATTTGTGTGATCATGGGTGTGTGTTTTAAACAATTAAGCTCATTCCCTCACCTAAATTGAAATAATACTTACCTTTTTAGGTTTGTAGCAAGCATTAAATGAGATACACTAAGAAAACTCTATTTTATGCTATCTTATACTATAATGTTTCTCACCAAGAAATAATCCAAGTTCTAGGTTTAATCCAGTGCCTAGCACATAGTAAAAATTCAATCAATGTTGTATATTTTAGTCTGCTGCCTTTCTTAAGAATATATCAAATTTGTCAGCAATATCTAATAACTACAGTAGTAGCCAAACCATCCTATCAAATGACAAACTACTCAAAGTTGAAAGCTAATACTAATACTTCCCTGCAGGCCACTGGACAGACACTGTAGTCTTCTTGGAGAAAACCGAATTGGCAGGTTTTCTAGAAAATATAGTTTTTGAGCAATTTCAAACTGTACACCCTAAGGCCACTATAAGAGTTGTCCCCTATCTTCTATTTCCTATACTGATAACTTAGCAGGAAGAGACTTTCAATTTATCTTGTAGATGTTATTTGCATGAAACAAAAATGCAAGTCTCTACAGCTTCAGTCTGACCCACGACATAATATCTGCTCTTATTGGCTGAGGATTTTGCAGAAAGGAGTACATAAATTGTATAAGACTGGCTTAGCCAGTTTACTCACACACATTTCACTACCAGACATGATCAAAGCTACATAAAACCACTATCCAAAGTCACCTTATAAGTCTCCATGTGCTACTGAGATTTCTAACCTGTTATTTGAGAAAAACTGCTTTGATGGCATATTTAAATATATTTTTATGTCCAAACTTTGATCTTGGTTACAGCTAAACCATGGAGTTGATGAACCCTGGTAGAACAAAGAGAACGAGTCATTTTCTGTTATAACTCACATTATATTGTGTTCTCACAAGTAACAAAAAAATATGGTGGCTCTTTTATTTAATGCATGTCTGAGTCAAAGGAGAAATACAGCAGTCCCTCACACAGCAATAAGGGCTAAGCTATGTTTTATTACATGGATATAGTTCTATTTTTATTTAAAAAGAATATAAAGATGGCTGATTCACACTAGTTTCTGGGCTTTAACATTTCCTTTCTTTTTAGTTACTACAGAAACTTGAAATCTGAAAAGTCGAACTGTCAGTGAAGCAACGCATTCGTTTCTTATTCTTTCATAACTATTAAATGCATCTCACGTAGCAAAGCTCTTTTTCTCCCCCAGAGAATCTGGCAGCCACAAGACTTAGCCTTACCAGTGTCTGTGGGTGTCTCTGAACAGCAGTCAAGTACTAGGAGAGAATAATGGGAAGTCACTGATATGTTCCAGAAAATCAGTCTAGCAGCTCATCAAAAATTTGGCAGAAAGAAAATTAATTTTTTGAAATCTTTAAAGACTTTATTTAAACTCAATTTTTGGAGACCAAAAGGGAAATCATATTTTTAAAATCTCATATAAATGAGTTCCATGGTCCATTAAAATCTTTTTGCTGTTGTATGATTTTTTTCATAGTAAAATACATTGCTCATGAATATATTTCCACTTTATAGGTCCCTTAAATAAAATACCAGAAAAGAATGGAGGAGGAATAGGGAACTAACATTTGTTGGGTACTGATGTTTTGCCAGAAAGATCATAATTCACTACATATGTTATCTTTTTCAACCTTCACCACAATCTTGAAAAAAGAAATGTAGAAACAGTAGTATAGTGGTTAGAGCCACAGGCTTTGGCATCAGCTTCATCTGAGTTCCCATCCACTCACTAGCTAAGTGACTGTCAAACTAGCCTCTCTGAGTTTCCGTTTCCTCCTCTATAAGTGGGGTTGAAAATAATACTGTTTTGAGTATTAAACTAGATAAAACAAAATTCTTGGCAAAGTGATGTGCACATGGCAAATACTCAGCATATGGGAGCAAAATAAAATGTCAGCACTATTATTCCTTTTACATATTCAAAAATTAAGGCTCACAAGTGAAGTAACTCATTCATACCTCAAAAGTGGATCATAATGGGGCTACAGTTTAATTTTTTTTTTTTCTCAAGCTCCAAAGTCCATAGCTTTAAATTCCAAGATTCCCCTAAGAATCATTGCCTAAACAATCAAAAGAAACGTTTTGATTCTATTTAGGGAAAAAAGAAAATATTGTGCAATTATTTCTTTCTTATTTATAGATGAGGTGAATAATTCAGGTATGCACTCTCTTAACTATCCATATTTCACAGGAATAATTTGGAATATTTCTGAAGAGAAGGGTAGATGACAGATAAATGAAACTGAAATATTATATGGAAAAATAGTACAACACAAATGATGCCTATCTAGATGACAGGGACTGTGAGCAGGTAGTCTCCTTTAGAAGGATAGGGACGGGACGAGACTGGTTATTATATTTAGTTCACTGATGCTTAGAGGTTAAGTGACTTGCTCATGGTCATGAAGCTTTTAGGTGATACAACCAGAATTTTAAAAGCATAATGTCTTGTATTCTAAGCTACAAGTTTATTTATTTTTTCACATTGACAGATAAAATTGTATATGTGTACTCTGTACAACATGATATTTTGAAGTATATTTACATTATGGAATGACTAAAGCTATCTCATTAACATATGCATTATCCATTAAAATATGCATAGTTAGCATTTTTGTGATAAGAACACCTCCCTTTTCTCCACATCCTCCAACACTTATAATCTTTTGTGTTTTTTTATAAAAGCCCTTCTAACAGGTGTGAAGTGATATCTCATTGTGGTTTTAATTTGATGATTAGTGTTGTTGAACATTTTATCCTGTATCTGTTGGCCATCCATGTATCTTCTTTATTTTATTATTTCAAATATTATGGGGGTACAATTGTTAAGGTTACATACATTGCCCTTGTCTCCCCTTCCCCCTTGAGGCAGAGCTTCAAGCGTGTCCATCCCCCAGACGGTGTGGATCCCACCCTATGTATGTATATACCCAGCCCTCCTCCCAGCTCCCACCTGCCCTACACCCGACAAATGTTTTTCTTTTTTTCTTAACATTTTGGTTACATTTTATATCTTTGTCTCTCCCTAGCAAGGGTTAGAGGTATGCCCTTCCTCTCCACAATGTTCACCACATACCTCAGATATGGGACTAGCCCCCAACTCCTGAATCCCTGGTGAACACCACCACCCTTTGAGCACCATAGCGTTAATCAGTCAGTACCAATTTGATGGTGAGTATATATGGAGCCCATTATTCTGATCTTGTGTCACCTCACTTCAGATAATGGGTTAAGCTCAATCCAGGATAATATAAGTGGTGCTAGCTCACTGTCGTTTCTTAGAATTGAATAATATTCCATTGTAAACATATACCAAATTTAATAATCCACTCATGAATTGACAGACACTTGGGTTGTTTCCATGTCCTTCTATAGGGAATTGTGCTGCCATAAACATTTGGGTGCAAATGTCTTTATAACAGAATGTCTTATGCTCTTTTGGGTAGATGCCTAATATTGCTATTGCTGGGTCGAATTGTATTTCTATTTTTTAGCAATCTTTGATAAAGCAGACAAAAATATACAATGGGGAAAAGAATCTCTCTTCAGTAAATGGTGCTGAGAATACTGGATAGCTACATGCAGAAGATTGAATCAGGATCCCTACCTCTCACCTCTCACAAAAATCCACTCAAGATGGATAACAGATTTAAACCTAAGGGATTGGGAAAACCCTCTCAGACATTGGCCTAGACAAAGAATTCTTGAAGAAGAGCCCCAAAGCAATCAATGCAGCAACAAAAATAAACAAATGGGACCTGATCAAATTACAAAGCTTCTGCACAGCCAAGGAAACTATCATTAGAGCAAATAGACAACCTACAGAATGGGAGAAAATATTTGCTCTCTACACTTCCGATAAAGGTCTGATAACAAGAATCTATCTAGAGCTCAAAAGAATTAACAAGAAAAAATCAAACAACCCCATCAAGAAATGGGCAACGGAAATGAACAGAAACTTTTCTAAAGAAGACAGAATAATGGCCAGCAAACATATTAAAAAATGCTTAACATCGCTAATCATTAGAGAAATGCAAATCAAAACCACAATGAGATATCATCTAACCCCAGTGAGAATGGCCTGTATCAAGAAATCCCAAAACAACAAATGCTGGCAAGGATGTGGAGAGACAGGAACACTCTTACACTGCTGGTGGGACTGCAAATTAGTGCAACCCTTTGTGGAAAAGAATGTGTATCTTCTTTTGAGAAATGTCTATTCATGTCTTTTGTACATGTTTTGATTGGGTTGTATGTTTTTCTTGCTATTAAGTTGAATTCCTTATATATCTTGGATATTAACCTCTTGCCAGATGTACAGTTCATCCATATTTTCTCCTGTGCTGTAGGTTATGTCTTTACCATGTTGCTGGATTCCTTTGCTGTGTAGAAGCTTCTGAGTTTGATGTACTCCCATTAGTCTACTTGTGCTATTGTTGCTTGTTAAACTACTGATTCAAATGATGTAAGTTATACTCCAAGAATCTTGTTTTTAATCAGAGTAAAAATATATATTTGTTCATATGTCAAAAAAACAAACAAATCTATTGAAGAAAATCTATGTATTTTTTGTAAGATGTAATCCTAGTGACTTAACAAAAAAAGGCTATTATAGCCCAGACTGTTTTGAAAGTTGTCAAATTAATGTCTGTAGTATATGAAGCTTTTCTTATTTTTATTTAAAATGGCATGGCTCAGATAGCAATGATTGTAATTCCCTGGATCCCAGATCATATTATCATGTTTCATGTTTCTTGCCTTTATGCATGGAAATACCACTACCTTGAATATTTTCTATCCTTCCCTCCTTGCTTGTCTGGCAAATCTATTGTGGCCATTTTAAGCCTTAGTTCAGATATAGCTTCCTCCAGAAAAATTTCCCTAGAGGAAATGCAGGGTGATTGCTAATTGTTCCATTTTCTAGGAAATATCGGTTCCTTGTATAAATTTATATTGCTGCTATCATACAGTAGAATATTTTGTTATAATGTCTGTATTCCCTGCTAGACTAGGAACTTGTTGAGCACAGGCACTGTGTCTTAGTCATTTTGGATGCATCACATATAGCAATATCTTCCGGTACATAGGAGACAATCTGTAATTTTATTAATTGAATTATATAGAAACTATAAAATTAACATTTTGTTTAAGTTTAATTAAAAATACATAATTCCTTAATGGAATTATAAGATATTGAGATTATGCGATTATGAGGTATGAGAGATTCATGAGTATTGATATCCATAGATACTCATAAAGAGATTATGAAATATGATTATGAAATACTATGAATTATGAGATATTATGATGAAATATATGAAATATTATAGAATCAGGAGATAAATTTATCCATACTTCCTACTCTTTTACAATGATTACAATAATATCCTGTTTTTTTAAGGAAGATTTATAGGTATACTTTATCCAGTTACAGTTTTCACTTAACAATTGGATTCTTATGCTTAAAACTAGCCATTTAGAAATTAAAATACAGTTTGCCCTTCAACAATGCAGAGATCAGGGGCACAGATCCCTTGGGCAGCTGAAAATTGCATGTAACTTTTGATTCCCCCAGAACTTAACTACTAATAGCCTACTGTTGACTGGAAGTCTTGCTGATAACATATATGGTTAATTAATACATACTTTGTATTTTATATTAATATTTATGATGTACTCTATTCTTACAATAAAGTAAAGAAAAGAAAATGTTATTAAGAAAATCATATGGAAGTGAAAATACATTTACTATTCCTTAAGCAGAAGTGGATCATCATAAATGTCTTTATCCTCCTCATCTTCATGTTGAATAAGCTGAAGAGGAGGAAGAAAAGGAGTTGGTCTCACTGTTTCAGATGTGGCAGAGGAGGAAAATACTCCATAAATAAGTGGACCCACACAGTTCAAACCTGTGTTGTTCCAAGGTCAATTGCACTGTAATAAAGACATTATTTTGAATTTATTTGTATTTACTACTTTAAAAAATAATGTTCAACCTCTGGTTCTATTTACATTCTCTAAACTTTGGATAACCTTAAAGTAACCAATCTCAAAGCAAACTTATTAAAACCTAAATTATCTTGAAGAATTACATTTAGTAGTTTCCAACTAATAACCATTAGGCCAAGGAATTTATAGTTATGGTATATAATACTCCTTTCTTGTTTCTCAATACGTTTTGTTTGTAAATTGGATTTGAAAAGCACTTTTGACAAAGATCACTGACTATACATGCAAATTAGTGTTGCCTTTAAGCTTAAGTGCAACTCTCAGCCTGTGCTCCCAAGTAAATAACAAAAAGCAGCTAAATCATCCACAAAGTTAACATGAAATACTCCCCAGCCCATCTGACATTTCAGTACAAATACCACTTAGAAAACCAAAAATACATCAGGGTAAAATTGCAGAATATTTGAAACTAGCAGGGATTTCTGTCAAGACTTTCATTTTACAGTGACTTCTGATTCCTTAAAAACATATATCAGCCTTTATTCTCCTTTGAAAGCATCATTGTTACATTAGAAGTCCGCTTAAGAAGATCCTTGGCACTATTTGGAAGGTTTTTCGCTTTGTCTGAATTGTATTTCACTGACCTCCCAGTGGTTCCACTATTGCACACAGCTGGCTTTCTCCTCTATGTTCCCTTAGAGTGTGGAAATGGAAAAATGTAATGGCCAGCCAGGTACAGGAGCCTCACTGTGAAAATTCTGGTTCTTCTCACAGTATTCATCAAGACAAATTGGTTTTCTCACAGGTTGTTCTTAAATGTAGATAGACATTAGTACAGTTGCTGTTGTGTTTAGTAATTTTCTATATATTCTCATCTGCTTTGACTCTTCTTTGATTGGCAAATTCTGTCAGATTTATTCATTGGCCATACATAGCTTTAGAAATGTAAGAGTAATTTCTTAATCCCTGGTCTATAAACTATTTAGTTAAAACTTTATTTCCCTAATGTTGCTGATTATGTTTTTAACTCATTGGTATAGTTAACCACTGAATACATATTTTAAGAAACCCATTGGCTTCTGTCTATGTCTAATGCTATAAAATCTAGCAGCAACTAAGATTGGGCAACTTTAGAGTTGACTCCTTTTTCACATACATTGATTCATTTAGCATTTTTGAGGCAACGTATTAGTATGTTAAAAATAGTAACTATAAAAATATATAGATATGGTTGTGGATGAATATAGATATGTAGATCTGTAGGTATCTCTCAATTCACTATTATGGGCATGCTGTTTTGATAACAATATCCCTCCCCACCCTGTTTTTTGTTGCTGCTGCTGTTGTAGTTTTTGTTCTAAATTTGCCTTCCTCAATGTTATGCTTCAAGACAAAGTGATACATATGAGTATTATTTCCCATCTAACAAAACTAAATTAACTGTTAGCATTGGAGTGACCTGTGCCACTCAACCATTTGAACTAGTGACATAGTAACATATAAGTGCAAAAACAGTCAAGGCAAGACATGGTTGAATTTTATCTGGTCAGAGACATACTGCCTGCAGGTCTTGAGCAAACCTACTTAGCTAAAACAGTTTGATATTTCCCATGGAATATGAGACAAAAAAAATTAATTAGATTTACCCAGTGAGAAATAAAGAATTTTTAAAAAGGCAATGGGAAAACCGAGTTTCCCATATTATTGCTTTCACATACCTTTCTATATCTCCCATTACAAAATGCTCTTAACATGATGTTATTTTCTTCTTCTGGTTTTCTCATGGAAGCAGGACCAGGTACATAATTTGTAGGGTCCAGTGCAAAATGAAAATGAGGGGCCTCTTTTTCAAAAATTCTCAAGATTTTCAAGATGGCAACATCAAGGAACATTAAACCAAGTTCTGAGCAGGAGACCTCATGTATCTGTAGACCACACACCTATGAAGCCAGCCCTACAAGAAAAGGTAAACTGTAGACCATATAGAGCAATTTGATAAGAAGCATCAAGATCACTATATATACATGCTTTTTTACCCATTAATTCAATTTCCAGGGCTCTATATAAAGGAAATTTCAGAGTTTTGTATATTAATATACAAAATATACGAGTCCCAGTGTTATTATAATAATGGAATACCAGAAAATTTAATACTAAGAATAAATTGTGTGCTTTTACAAAGATATTAGTAAAACTGTTTGCTTAATGAAGTTATAAAATGCTGTTAAATGAGAAAAATGGGACACAAAACTAGAAATAAAGACTATTGCTTCTCTCTCCTTCTTCCCACCTTCACTATTTCCCTTTATACATTCTCAAAACTGAAAAGGCATTTAATAAAATATTAATAGTGGTTAATTCTGGGATATGGAATTATTCATGATTATTACCTTCTTTCTGGGTTTTCTGTCTATTCCACTTTTCTACAAAGACCATGTATTATTTTTACAACTAAGGAAAAAAAAATTAAAAATAAGGTGTTCACCTAACCCGACAGTTTCTAAATAAATAGTTGGAAGGAATAAATTATTTAAGCAATAATACAAATAGACCTACTGCAAACATGTCACACTCTCTCACAATCTCCCATATAGTCTTCTGAAGAAGCAAAATTTAGTGCAGAAAGCAGTGTTTCATTTTAGCTTACAGTGTTCTTGGTCTACTTGCCCTGCTAGCTTATTCCATTTACTCCAACACTGGATGATTTAGTGTCATTATTTGTAATGTACAGGTTATCAAATTTGGGGCATAAAACTATTTAAAATGGTTTTATATAGAATATATGCCAATGGCTTAGTCCCAGAACACCGGTATCCTGCCATCAAAACGATAATGATTAAGTATTGACCAAGGCTACAGGTGATGATTAGAAAATAGTTCAGAATTTTGAAATGTCTTAAGTCCCTTACAGCAAAACTGAAATAAGGATTTGGGTAGAGGTCATTTATAAAGGAGGTGATGACAGGGATCACTTGTAGGGAGGGAGCAAGAGTGAGAGGTAGTTTAAAACAAAACAATAACAGGACCATTATTGAACTGCTTATTACTGTGGACAATGGGTAATCAATTGCTCTGGTGGCCATCTGAGGTGCTACATGGAATGCCTCTTGGCATTTTTCCATTTTTCACTTTTCCCACTGAAAAACAAGAAGCTGAGATATTAATCTCCCCCATTGTTGAGGATTTCCCTTAAGGCATTAACTACCTTGTACTTCTTGGCTGCCTGTAAACATGCTGTAGAAGCTTCTTTGACTAGGAAAAGAGAGATGCAGCTGATGTTGGAGATGGGAAGCTGTCAACATGCCTGGGAACTTTATCCACCACAGCCACAGCTGAAATCAGAGGTGGGTTGAAGGAATCTGACACGAAGCTTTAAAAGTGGCCACAAATGAAAAATAAAAGGAGGGAAAGTGGAAGTGTAAGAATGAATGCTTTGCAACGTGATCTCAGGACAGATAAAGAAAACTGATGAGAAGTGTGTTTGATTCCATCTGTTTGCATTTGTAAGTGGGGAGGAAAAGAAGACGGGAAGAAAGGAGACTAATCAGGCAGCACCACAGTTCTTTTATGTGAGCCATGCTCTGGCAAAAACTTCACTACCTATTGAGGAGGCAGATTGTGAAAACTGTTCCCAGATATATGTGGGAATCCTGTGCTTATCACCCTATGAAGATAAAATGTATTTCCTGTAATTCTTTTGTCAAGCATCCAAATAGATCTGCATCTCTGGATACACACCAATGCTTATTTTTAGAGTATTTTTATTCCCTTGCTTCTTAAACAATAAGACCCCAAATCATCGCTAATCCACAAGTCTATGCACTACAAAGGAACTAGAAATACCTTGGATAATCAGGTCATTTCTATTAAGCCCAGAGTAGGTTATGTGACATATCCCCTCTCACCACAGCTGCCTTGAAAGATATGTTCAATGACTTGGAGAGACATGACAAATGCATCACCATGAGCTGATTGGTGAGTCTCTCCTTAGTGATTTCTCAGCACTTCGTCCACATTTCTGTTGTAGCACTTAACGCAATCTACAGTAATGCATCTTGTTACTTGTCTAACTCCCCAGACGCTGGCAAGTTTCACAGGGAGTGAGGCTTTGTCTTATCTACATCTACACATATTAATACAATGCTCACAGAACATTGCTTGATGCGGAGTGGGTGAGCAATACAAACTGGCTGAATGAGCAGATAAAGCATTTTCTAGGTTAACATTCACTGGTTTGTGTCAAATAGAACAACCCTGACATGGATTAATCAATCCTTGATTCTGCCACTACCAAGCAGGGTATCCCTGGATACGTCAACAACCTTTCCTTGATCTCATTTTTTGCTCATCTTTACAGATAAGGGGGTTGAGAAGATGATGCCTAGGGTGCCTTCAAGCTCCTGTAGTCAATGATCTATGTGTCACAGCTGTTAGCTCATTAGAATGCATTAAAGGAATTGTGTCCTCAATTCCCTACCTAACTTTACAAAGTACCTTCAAGTACCCCGTGACTAACAGTGTATTTATGTTTGTGGGTAGTTATGATAAAAGGGAAATTATACTTTTAAATCAGGAGGCTAGAAAGTAGCCTTGTACTTCTGTTCTCCTCAAATTTTAAAAGCAAGTATCTTTGTTTGCTTTAGAGGAGTTTTTGTACTCTCCCTTATGATCCATTTCAATTTCTAATCATTGCTTTTAAAGATCTGAAGATGTATGTTAATCTTTCAATAACCAGAAGCAGACTTTGTGTTAATACATCCTTTGTTTTTGCAACTCCAGCTTCTAGTTAAGCAATAAAGAAACATTTTATACACTCTATTAATAAACCTTAATGGAATGTCAGGCATTGTGCTTATTCTAGAACCTGGAAAAACAAGATAGAGATGTCTTAATGAACTAAGGAATAAAGCCAATGCAAAATGATACTTCTACTGTTTATTCAGAGCTCAAGAACTAGAAATTTTTATTTTAAAAAATAAATGTTTATCCTTAGTACTGTTTTACTAATAGGTATTCTGAAGAAATAAGATAGCAATTGAGGAAGAAAATAAAAATGAAAATCATGGAACCTCTGTTCAAAGGAAAGCAATGAACTCAGAACTATAGTTTAAAGGAACTGAAATATATGAGAAAGAATCAGAAAGTTTTAAAACAAACTATATTTTAGAATATCCATTATTTTAATCAGGCATCCTTATCCATTCTCAGTGCTTTTTTTAAACTTTTTTTTTTTCAAATTTTAATTCCAAAAGTGTATTTGCATGACCTTACTTTAAAACAGATTGACTAAATCCAAATCAGAATTTCAGTCTCCCAGATCATTAACAGAAAGTGATATACATACATGTGGCAATATCTCAAAGCGTTTTGACTTAGGCAAAAAATAAATAAATAAAAATAAGTAAAAATGTGCTCACCGCATCCCAAGACGTAAACAGGTAACAGTTCCTAGTGATAGCATTGGAAAAAACATAATGACGAATCAGAGGAGAACATTCAGAAAGGAATGCCATAGGTCTATGGGTACATTTGTGTTGAAAAAAAAATGATGTGCCAGCAACTTAGATGAATTTCCAGAGAAATAGGCTAAGTGGAGAAAAGCTTGTCCCAAAAGGTTTTATGCTGGTTCCATTTCTATAACATTCATGAAATGATAAAATTGTAGAGACAAAGAACGTATGTATTAGTGGTTTTCAGAGGAAGTGGGGGTAGTGAGTGGGAAAGGTTGTGTGATTATAATAGGGCAACAGTAGGGAGGATCTTGCAGTGATGGTTCAGTATCTTCTCTCCAGTAGTGAACACACAAACTTGCACAAGTGCTAAAAATGCATAGAGCTAAACTAACTCTCTCTCTCTCACACACACACACACATACACACAAGTACATGAAAAATGGAAAATCCTACTAATATTAGATTTCATCAATGTCTGTTTCCTGACTGTGATATTACACAATCGTTATGCAAGATGTTCCCACTAGAGGAAACTAGTTAAAGGGTAAATGTAATATTTCGTACAACTGCATGGGAATCTATAATAATCTCAAAATTAAAATTTTAATTGCGAAAGTCAATAAGAAAAATATAGAAAATCAACCCATTAGGAAACTGAGTCAAAGACTTGAATAAGTACTGAACAAGAAGGAAACTCAAATGAAAAATAAATCTGTAAAAAGTAATCATGCTGCTTGGTAATCAGGGAAATGCAAATTTAAACCACAATAGATACTATTATGCAGACTGGTTAAAAACTAGAACATTTGATAAAACTAAATGTTGCTGAGACATGAATAATCAGAAATCTTATACTCTGTTAGTGGGAATATAAATGAATATAACAACTTTGGGAAATAGGGTGGCATTTTTCAATAAAATTGAAGATGTGCTTACCTTGGACACAGAAATTTCATTCCTAGGTATAGAGAAATACTTGCACATATGTGCCAACGATGTGTGTTCAAAAGAATGTTCACAACTGCTTTTTAAATAAAAACTGGAAATAATTTGTGTCCATTTACAATAGAATGAATAAATAAATTGGAATATATCAATACAATGGTACTCTACATGACAAAAATAGACATGATGTGTAATCATACACTACAATGTGGATTGATCTTGGGGAATGTAGTATTAGGTTAAATATGCAGCAAATGAAAAAAACCACTATATCATTCTATTAATATAAAGTTCTGAAGCTATCTTGTTTAAAAATAGCTATTCAGGTGGTATGTTTACATGAAGGCAGGGGAAATAAAATACCTTAGAACTTAGTATAGTGGTTACACATGGAGGAGGAAGTGGGCTAAGATGGGAGGTGAAGGGAAAGGTGTTATGAGGCCTTAGGGTGCCCATCGCCTTCTATTTCTGATTTGAGAGGTGATTATACATGTGTTTGCATCACAATCATTTGTCAATCTGTAAATATATCTGCACAATTCAATATATAAAAATGTTGCAAGCTCAAAAAAAATAAAATGTGAAAACAAGATTGTAGGATTTTGTTTTTGTTTTTACCGAATAACTGCAAACTCAATTTAACAAGCAATAATACACAGTTAAATACACAAAGTAAAATCATTTGAAAGTTACAGATCTCTAAACATTAAGCATTTTATATTATACTCCTTTCCCACCTTCACCTCCACTCAAATGAAATATTAAATGCAAATGTAAATAATTAGCTTTCCATAATACAATAATTTTATTTATTGGTGCATTGTGAATGAATAAGCATAAATAATTTTGTGCTTTGGTTGTAATAATCTACGTTGACAACTTCTCTCTTCATCTAGACACTTATTTCTGATCTTATTTTTTTTTTTCTGGTACCATAGTAAGCACTTAATTAAGTTTGTAGAATGCATATGTTTATACTAATAAAAATCATAGTTTCTAGTTTTCATTTTAATAATTTTAAATGGAAATAGATTATGTTTTTATTTACAGAAAAAAAGAATAGAATAAAATAAGCCGAAACTATTTTCTTCTTTTCTGCATTCTAGCAAATGAAAATGTGATCTAACTGGTTTCAGACTGGTTTCGTTTAGTAACTGTGGTCATTGTTTTATTAAATGGGCTAAATCTGTGGAAATGGAAACTCCTTAAATTACTCAATTATATTTTTAGCTTTTGAAATTCAATTTGGGAGCCAAGATTGTAAATTCTTACTCCCACCTCCTCCCTTAATCCACAATTTAAATTCTGCATATAATTCTTCATGTGATAATTATTTGTGCATTAAATTGTGTCTCTTTGTAGACTAAGGATTCAGGATTTCTCTGAAATTTCCCATCACCTCAATAAGAAAAAATAATGCAGTAGCAATATGGCCTATGTCTCCTGATTTCTCTTACCCTGGATATGCCCAGCCTCCCATGGCCAGTCTCAGATTTCAATTTAGGTTTGTCTTTAAGCAAGACTCATTCCAAAAAAAGCAAGTCACTTCCCAAAGCATTAGTGAGCGACATCAGCTTTACTGGAGATTACAGAGAAGACATGGACGTGGGTGTATATGTGGAAAAACAGCACTTTTTACTTCAATGTAAGTAACCTTCATTGGACATCTCTTACCAAGTCTGTTTTTTCCCCCACTGCCTTCCAATCTCTTCCAACTTTCATCCCTTTAATCACCTTCCTAGCTGTCCTCCACCTTCCCTCTCTCTTTCATTACTTTCATTTTCTTAACCAAATAAATGTATCTGTGTCTGAAGCTTCCAAATTTGCATCATCACACCCACATTTAACAATGTTTTCAAGTATGCAAAAGGCCAGTATACTGAGGAGAGAGAGAGAGAGAGAGAGAGTGAGTGTGTGTGTGTGTGTGTGTGTGTGTGTGTCCCCTTTAAGGAAATACAAGGTAGTTGACAGATCCATCCTCCCCAGAAAAGTGAATGGAGGTAGATAAAGGGAATGTAACTATTTTTTTTCCTGAAAAATGCTTTCCTGTCACCCTAAGCTAAATTTTGTTTTCCCGTTAGTAATGTTTATGAAATAGAGAAGCACCTTACAATCAATATGTATATTTACTGTGGTGATGCTCTGTCTGCAAAACTTTTATTCAAAGTGATAGTCATCTCACAATATATCTTAACATTGAAGAATATGCTTCATGGTTTTTTTTTAATAATTTTCTTTATTACTTTTTAAATTGTGATTTTATAAAAGCCATACTTCCTCATTGGATCCAGTGATGTAAGTGCAAAGATAAAGACATGCAAAGATATATCAATAAAACCTTAATAATCTTTTCTCAGCCTCAGTCCCACCTACATGGTTACTAATATTAACAATCTGCTCATATCCTATCACAAAACTGGGAGAGCTTATACACAACAGATAAACTTGTATAGGTTTTTTGGTTTTATGGTTGGGTACTGTTTACAAAAATAAAATCATATTATTCTACTTGGTTTTCTTATTTAAGATACACCATGGATATCATTCTTAAGTAATAAATCTCTAATTTATTTTTACATATCTATATGGTAATCCATAGTATAGTTGTATCAAAATTTATTCAACTATTTCCTCACTCAAATAGTTTCCAGAGTTTTCTTTATTCAACTTCTAGCGATTCTTTAATACATATCATTGTACATATAACCTCAAGTATTGGCACCTTTATTTCCACAAGCTAGAGTCCCAAAAGTAAAGTTGCTAGATTAAAAGATAAAGTGCTTTCTAATTTTACCCAACATTTCCATATGAATTTCCCCAGAGGTTTCAGGGATTCACACTGGCAGAGCATATGAAAGGGCCCATTTCCCAACATTCTCTCCAGTGCTGCCGTAATTGTTCTTTTTAATTTTTGCTGGTCTAATGGATAAAAATGATCTCATTGTACTTTAATATTCATTTCCCTCACTACAGGTAAGGTTGGGCTTTCAGGTATTGTCTTTTCTCTCTAGCCTTTGTACACTGGTTATTTTTCTATCAGTTTTGCCTTTTTCATGTGAAACAATTTATAAGACTTTATTACTCATTAGAGATTTTCTCTTTGCCAAGCATATGTGTTGTAAATATTCCTTTGTAGTTTACAATTTCCTGAGCCTCAAAACTGCAATATATCTTTAAAATTTTTATGTAGTCACATATGTCTGTCTTTTGTCCTTTTATTTTACAAGTTGCCCTCATCCTGAAGTTATAGAGTCCCCTAAACTTTCTCCTAATGTTTTTAGTGTTTTACTTTTATCTTCTTTGTAGTTTGATTGAGGTATAATTTACATATAATAAACTTCAAACATTTTAAGCATACAGTGTGATGAATTTGGTATCATAAATAGTCACATGACCATCCCAAAACCCAAGATATTGAACAGGTCCATCATCCTAAAATGTTTTCTTCTACCACTTCACAATTGATGACCTTTCCTGACCATTGATCCCAGGCAACTACAAATCTGCTTCTGTCACTATAGCTTTACCTTTTCTAGAATTTTATATTGATGGATTCGTATATGCAATCTTTAGTGTTTGTCTTCTTTCATATGTATGTTTGAGATGCATCTGTTTTTAAATATGTTAATCATTTTATTGTTGTATAGTATTCCACAGTGTGGATAACCCGTACTGGCTTATCCATCCACAAATTATTGGATATTTGAATTGCTTCTGGTTCAGGGTTACATACATATTGTTTTTATGAATGTTTGAGTAAGAGTCTTTGTATGGACATATGGTTTTTATTTTTCTTGAGTAAATATCTAAAAGTGAGATTGCTGGGTTGTATGGTTAGTGCATGTTTAACTTGATAAAGTACTGCTGTACCGTCTTTCAAAGTGGCTGTGCCATTTTTGAATTCCCAGAAGAAATTACAGAATTTCCAGTTGTTCCACATTCTCCAGAGCATTGATATTGTCAGGATTTTCAATTTTAGCCATTCAAATGGTATACAGTGGTCTGTCATTGTGGTTTTAATTTGAATTTACATAATAACTAGTGATGTTA